CGTACATTAAATAGTGAATGTTTACATATTCAAAGAGTGTAGTTTTCATTGATATATTGGGTGCTACTTCATAATATGTATAATGAATAGTGAATTTCTGAAGTTACTGTGGTGAGGTGAGCGAAGCTAAGACAGGATAGATGCATTCTCACCATTCCCAGTAATTACGTTACTATTGATGAAAAGTGACACTCATCTACACATATTATAAATATTCCCTGTACTCTTATCCACTATTCATTCTGTTCTTAAATGGTCTGAATAACCTTGAACCAATTAAAGTGTGCATTGCATTTTAGTGTTTTTTAGTAGGTAAGTTTTGCCAATGTTTAAATGTTGTCTATTACAACCTTAACTTTAGATTAGATTTAACATAAAGCTTGTAACCTAGACTTATTAATGTTATAATTAATACAATTTAATGAAAGTATAATTACAAAACATATTTACCATTTTAGTGATAGTTAGGAACATTTCCTCAACATTGATGTTCTCTTTTGCACTTGTCTCAAACAACGGTATGTTCATCTGGTTGGCAAATCTCTGTGCATCTTCCGTAACAACTACCTTTCTTGAAGGACAGTCATTTTTGTTACCAACTGGAAAGGAAATTATTGCATCTGTTTCAATCATATAAATAAGTAGTAGTTAGGTTAGGTACCCTAAAAAACCCATCACATAATTCTTTGTCAGAATCAGTCATAAATTGTAGGTAAAGGACTGATTCTGACAAAGATAAACAAGACTCCTTGTTAGAGAGAATGGCATAAACGGTTTTACTGACATTGCTGGTTTACCACTACACTGTCATCATAGGAGTAGAAAAGAGATATTTACTTCTTAGTTTGTTATACCTTACATTTTGCAAATCACACCTTTTTTATTGAGCTTTACATCACTTTTAAACAAATTTTAACTTTTGGTCTGAATATCTGTTACATAAAATTTATAGGTTCACAAACAAATTACCCAGAGCTAGATTATATAATGTATTTACATTTTGCTTTAATTGAAAATAATTATAAACAGTTTTTAACAAAAGATTTTTATAATGTAAACTTGTAAAGGTATATTATGCATACATTCTATGGTAATCACTTTGGAAGAATTGGTTAAATGCAGGAAATCATTATATTGATTTTTGTTATAGTTATTAAACTTCCACTGTATCACACATGAGAAATTAACTATGGCTGAAAATTCAAACATATCAGTTAAGTTTGAAAGGCAAAAACAAAACATAAAGGAATAATAAAATAGTGACACTGAGGAAAAAAAAATATTTTTTTATTTATTTCATTTGTGGTTTAGGAAATTGCCAAATTTATTAAAGACCATATTCCACTATAGATGTCTACTCAGCTGTAGTAGCTATTTGTAATTCATAATACTTTTAGTTTTACAGTCAAAACCTAGGTAACACCTTTACTGCTGCCTATAATATATAAGAGTACCCTTAGACTGCTAGCGAATGTATGTAGTGTATTTTCACGACTGGAGTATTGTGAATAGTCAACAGTGTGTATAAAACACAACTGTTGTGTTCCCTTACAGCAGTGCTAATAACACACACACATTGTATTCCCAATGAGTGTGCTGTAACCCACACCCTTTGTGTTCTGTACGAAAGATAAGAGCGCTGAAAACACACTATATGTACAAAAAAACAATTTGCTTTTAATGAAATAGAAAACGACAGGTACACATTTGCCAATATTTTGTATTATTATATTTTTTTTATCTTAATGGTTATATATATATATAAAACATATAACAACAACCCTTTGTAAGTTATTTTAAGGTAATTTGTTTCATATATATTAGTAGAACACATATTGGACAAAATAAACGAAAACAAACATATGTTTTCACACATTGCCGCTATGCCATGCAAAAATTGTGTTGACAGCACTCTCATACAGAACACAAGGGGTGTGGGTTACAGCACGCTTGTTGGTAACACAACAGTTGTGTGGCCAGCACTTGTGGATCGAAAAAAAATGCCCTTGTGTATTTTCAGCACTAGCATCAGTTTCTATAAACACAAGGTGTGTTATTAAGCAGTGAAGGTGTTAAGAGGACTGGGGTTCTCTTGGATTGTATATGTATGTATTTAGAAATATTTAAACATGTTTTTAGCAGTCTGGGTACCATAGCTGTTTGGATGAGTCAAGTTATTATTTTTAATTACAAAGAGAACTAAAAACTTTTGCATTGAAATACTTCGAATTTGATAATTTTTTACACTATAATTTTATGTTCCTGTACTATCAAGGGATTTTGTATTGATTTATCAGCAGTATATGTGTAAAAAGAAAATACATACTGAGCTTTTGTATTTAGTGGCAACCTCTTTAAATAACTGTCCCTTTTAACTAAACTTATTAAGAAGCTATGTATAGACTCTATAAGTGATATAAAAAACTAGGTACCAACCTTAAAACCTCAGTTTAGGGTTTCAACAGAATGGAGGTAAGGAGGCAAAGTATTAATTAAAATATACTAGTCTAAAGGAAATAAAATGTCAAATGTTATCATGGCCAGATTTACTTGGTCATTAGAAAGCTTCTTGTTATGTAACCTTTACAAAGAATCAACTGTCTGTGCCATGGCTATCAGAGTGTAACAGAAAATATACCTTTGTTGTTAAACATTTGTTCATCATAATGTCAAAGATCACATTATAAAGACATCATTTGTTTTATTGTTTTCATCAATATTTAGGACCTTGATAGTGTGACCTTAACTAAGGTTTTACTTAATTTAACTTAATCATTCTGTTTTGTTTACTGAGAAGGAAAAATGTAAATGTGTACTTACCTAAAACTTTATTGACAACATCACAATTCTGTTCGATCTCATGGAGCCACCTTTTGACATTGGCGAAGGACTCTCCATTCGTAACATCGTATACAACGATGACGCCGTGGGTGCCTCGGTAGTACGTACTGGTAATCGTTCTGAACCTCTCCTGTCCCGCTGTATCCCATATCTGTAGCTTCACTCGTTCACCGTTTATTTCTAAAGTTCTTATTTTGAAATCGACGCCTATAGTGGTAATGTAACTACCGGAAAACGTGTTGTCGGCAAAACGCAGGAGAAGACAGCTCTTACCCACACCTAAAACATAACATCACACTGCTGACTAAGCTGCACAGATCCAAATATCGGTTATAAAGTTATAACATCACAGGCCTCGCCCACTCACCACTGTCACCGATAATCAGCAATTTGAAAAGGTGGTCGAACTCCCGTGACATGGTTTCAGAATAATATATCTATTACACTAATTGGTCATATATTCACTAGGTTTCTTGAAAACGTATTTAGTATAACTTTAACTACAGAATTGTTAATAAAACTCATGCCGTTAATGATAAACTTCCATCACTTTACAATTGGTCGCCATCATTGTTTTCAATTACCAGTGGGAAAAAAAATGACAAAGGAAAGTCATAATTTCTTGTTTATGGTTGTCTTGACACAAACTTATTTTATGCTTTTTTATTGCTTAGTTACATTACATAACTAAAATTACTTATAACACAATATTTATTTACACACAATATTTATTCAATAGCTTTTTAACTTCTTTTTCTTTATTTTTTTTTAATGAATACAACTAGATATTATTTGTTTTCGAATGGGTATGTAAATACCAATGTAATGAATGGGAATGTGTTGAGTTGCAGACGTTCATGGGCGGCGATGATCACTTTCCATCGGGTGACCCGTCTGCTCGTCTACCCCCTCTAACATAAAAAAAAACAAAACATGAAAAAACCATTCCTTTACACTTTTTAGTTTTTTTTAGAGATAAGCCCGGTCTTAAGAAAAACTTATGACTTCTACTTTTGGTTATTGTCTTGATTTACAACCACTTATAATATGTCAATGTCTTTTAGTTTATTGGTAGCTGTTACTGTCAATTATAATTATAGAAACCTGTGGAAGAGCTAAAATTAATTTATAAATGAAGATCTTAGTGCAGTAATCTGGGAATTGTAAACTTTTATAGGAATAATGAAACATGTAAACACATATATACAAACATGCAAAAAATAATTTAAGAATATATAAAAATTATAAAAATAATAATGCTCGTCTTATGTTTTGTGGAAACTATAACTTAATTTCATCCAAACTTGTCTATTGTGTATTTAAACAAAAGGATTGAAAGTTAGAATCGATTAAGGAATGTTTCGGTAAATGCCAAACCTGGTTCAGGTACAACAAAAAAAAAATTTCTTTCTTCTTCACTTCACTTCACTTGACTGCACGTATGGCATAGTGGTTTAATCGATCGCCACGCCGTCACTACTGCGCTGTGTGTTGAGGTTCTGATCACCACATGTGACTACACTTTCTGTGATCCACAAATTGTTGTTCTGAGTCGGGTGTTCCTTATCCGTTTCATGTATGTTTGTAAAGACAACTCTCGGAAATATTCCTAATGCGGGAGTTATCTTTTTTTTAAAGAAATAATTCAAGCCGAAATTCGCTACCTCAGTGTATCCTTTACTCAAAGTGTTTTGCTATATAGAATGCAGAATTCCTCGTGCTTAAACATTAGAATAATGTAATTGCTTAATGACATGTCTTTATGTAGATTATATACAATTTTCAAAAATGTACACAACGTATTTATGCTGTTTTGCCTCCATGTCCTAATCAGTAAACTAGCAACCCACATTGAACATTTCAATGAACGATGATCTCCAATTCCTCATTTTATAAGAATATTTAATTGATTTTGATATGATAATTTCGCTGTTGTGGCTGTGGTCCTTATTACTTCTTAAGCATTCCTACCTTCCAGTGACCTAAGTGTTCCAATTACTCACTCAAGTTTGTTCAAAGCTTAATAATGTCTATGGTTCCAGAAGGGAATGTATGACAGATATATGAGTAATCAAATGCATTTGTCAAGTTTGTCAGGATTTGTGTCAAAAATTGTAGGTGTGGTACGGAAAATTTAAAATATAATATATTTCGGCACAATGTCGGCTACGTTAAAACCCTATTTAACTGCCGTTCGGCACACTTTAACAGCGGCTATGTGTCTGGAGCACTTTTCGTCGCAAGTCGTAGAGAGGTACAACAAACCGGAGGTCGAGGTTAAAACAAGCAAAGAGCTTCTGTTAAATCCAGTGATCATTTCCCGTAACGCCAACGAGAAAGTTTTGATCGAATCATCAATAAACTCTATCAGAGTCAGCATTATGATCAAACAGGCGGACGAAATCGAAAAAATCTTGTGTAAAAAGTTTATGCGTTTCATGATGATGAGAGCGGAAAACTTTATCGTACTAAGGCGGACGCCAGTGGACGGATATCATATCAGTTTCTTAATAACAAATTTCCACACGGAACAGATGTATAAACACAAATTGGTAGATTTCGTTATATATTTCATGGAAGAAATCGACAAGGAAATTAGTGAAATGAAACTGGCCGTTAATGCACGCGCTAGGATTTGCTCAGAAGAATTTCTAAAAAGATTCTAACGTAATTTCTGTATTCTCAATGTGTGACTACATTGCTTCAATTGAAAAAAGTTATCGGTGATTTAGTGTCTTTTCCCTTGTGACTGAAACAAAGACCCATGTAAAGGAGTCTTAATAATCTATTACATTAAATTAACCTGTACATTCACAAACATTATTTTTAAGTTTCTTATACATATTTTTAATTTCTTTTTAAGGGAATATGTTTTCTAATTGTAAGCAGTATTGTGTAAAGTCTTTTAAGATATCGAAGTTATTGCTAGATAAATAATATACTCTAGTTTTATTTGTGGTATCATTTATGAAGAGATTGCTTATTAGTGGATTATAAGTTAGCAAATATGAAATTAATTCCAAAAAGTTTGAAAGGCATTTAAACACATTTGACAAATGATTGTATTATAAAATTTTAATAAAGTATTTTTAATAAATCTGAGTTCACTGTTTTATCCTTATAACCCAGTAGTGTTATCATTGGAATGTTACATGAATGATTAAAGAAATTGGTAATAATAATAACATCTCACACAGCCATCTGATTCCAAGCTAGGCAATCTGTGCTATGACTACCATACTGCTGATACTGAACATATTTGTATATTTCTAGATATATACATGTTATAGATAAATTACACCCAGACACAACAAAATATTTGTCCTGGGTGGGACCTATGGCTTAGCAGTTTAGTTCACTAACCACTAGACCAACAGGCTAGTGAAACAGGGATTCAAAATGATTGAAATGAAGAATTTGTACCATTTTTCATTGCATTTTCATAAAAATCTGATAACTGTATTAGACTGATAGAGTTTGTTCCTCTTTAGGGAATAAGCCTAATGCAAGTCTATATACAATATAAATCTATATTATAGTCTGTGTGGTGACAGATTCAGAATACGGAGTGTCACCACCCCTATTCATCTGGGTGTCATAAAAGCCGACTAATGGAGCAAACTATCCGGGAAAACAGCACTGCAAAGGAAAACTTGACACAAACCCTATACCAACCCATCTGGCCAGGGAGGTATAGCAGGCCAAAATCTCCTTTCTAAGGAGAGGCCTAAGTCCAGTACTATTAAAGGCTGTTGATGTTGATGATAGTATATATGGTGTATATAAAATCAATATGCAGTGTAGTATATTATAAAGGGATAGGTACAATATGTAAAATAAAGACCAAACGAATTTCATGCGAGTTTATTTAAATAATTTTTGTTTTACTATTATATTAGGATATCACAAATAATAATTTTAATAAATTTTATGGTCAGCTGAGAAAATGTCAATAACTACCAATCGTCTTCCTCTATTTCCCAGAACTGACTGACATATTACAATTATTAAATGATTTTACCCCACAAAAGTATGGTGAGCAGTCTATCCATATTGTGCTGTGCTCATTTCCTTCCAATAATTAACAAGATGTTTTATTGTTTATAGATAGATCAGCTGACATTGAATAACTGTTGTTTTCAGAAAAATCACAACAAAATGTTCTGACTTGGCTGTAATTAAGCAGCAACACTGCCATTTTCATTTGTGAAATTCTTTATAATAGACAAGAGAGAACCACCATTTTACTTCCTATTCCTTGCCAAAGAAAATTACTTACAAAGTTTTATTGATGTCAAGTTACTCTGCCATTATATAAGTAACTTGATGCATTTTTTTCTTTTTTATATTTTTAAATCAATTTCTGGCAACAGATTTTTTTTAGGTAACTAGTGTGTATGGCAACAACTGATACTCGCATCCTAAAATTTGGGGGTTCCTATTGGGTATCCATAGAACCTGTTACTTATATTGGATAGTTGGGTCCTTAGTCATGAGGAACGATCTTTATAATCGGTAATTCACCCTTCGTCCCTTAACAATACGAATCGTTGACTTATTGCTTTGTCATAGTAATGACTATACTTGACAGAGAATAAAGAAAAAATAAACTGTGACACGAACAAAGCAAAAATTGGTGCATATTTTAAACACTAATTGCAGCGCTCATTCTCTTTAGCCCTTTGAGCAGTGAGTATCTACAAAAGTTTTTCTACTAGGATAGTCAATATAAATATTAGATCTATTTTCAGAACTATGGACAGGCAATAGCCCTTGAAAACCAATTCTTACTAAGCGATAAAAGTACATCAAGTGACAACGACGGTGATGATTAAAAATGCGATGATTATAATAAATTTTACGTAGGTACTTTTGCGCTTAGTAAGGATTGCCTTTCAAGCGTCTATTTAGTCTCATGGTCTACATAGTATAATTTTTTATATACTTAAAATGGTAAGCATAGAAATCGCATGTTTTTTTCATCTTAGATTTCTGTCATTAAAAACATTATTGCCGACGACCGCAGGGACTTGTAACTAATATTACAATGGAATTTGAATTCAGAATTAGGATTTGGCCTCCGGTTATATAACTCATTCGGTGAAAAAAAAAAAAAAACAACAAAAGAATTGTTTCACTTGGTTTTCTGTGAGGCCGTGGTGTCACCAAATATAGTTGGCAGTCTATCTGCCCCTAAGATATAATCTATTAACTTAGGTAATCTCGGCTAGATAAAATTGAAGATAAACCGAGTTACAAAAGCAGTTGATAATATAACCTGAACATAGACTAATAAAACTATTTTCTTTTTAAAAAACTCGTTTTAGCTGCAATGAGTTATATTGGAACGCCAAGCATCAATGCTTCGTCATGGACAATTACAATGTTACAAAACATTCTCCATTATAGTTGTGCGGGTGAAGTAATGTTTATCTGCCACATTTGATAACAACTGTCACAATAAAATTGAATGCTATCAATTCGTGTATATTTTATCGTTTGGAGAGTTCCGAGTATTCTGGATATTTGATATTGAGGCATTGTATAGCTTTGGTAATTTTGAAACAAAACAATTAAGATTCTGAGCTTGATCAAATTTTAAAGTTACAAATGACTAACATCTAATTTTAACATCAAAATAATTTTTAAATCTTTGTTACTTTGTGTTTAGTAAATAAATGATTTTAGAAATTACAAAAATTAAAAATGCTTTTTTTTTTAATTTTTCATTGTTCCCAGTTGTTCATGTTACCCAGAATTTCATATAAATGTAATTCTTCTGATAAAAAAATTACAAATTTCTTATTAATGTGTGCGGAATGCCTAACGGCTGCTAACTGTAACTGATTGGTTATGGAAATCCACTGAAGTGTCTTATAATCTTTACTTTACCCACAGAACATACATATACTAAGAATAAGTAAAAAATCTAACATTGTCTAGTAGTATTATCAGTTCTTGGATTTGGCTGGTCGTAGAGTAAATCCTTCACCTTTGAAAGCTTCAAAGGGTACTTCGGAAGTCGTGTCCTCCTTCGCACTGGCTGGACGAGAGTTTCTGATGAACCTGAGAGTTCCTATTACGTAGTCGTAGTCAGGGATACCTCGGACGTATGCCTATAACAAAGATTTTATTACAATTAATTCATCTTCTAGAAGAGAATAATATTGTAATAACAATATGATGAACCTAACGAATAGTGGATAGGTATTTAAATTTGCCACTAAGTATATATCTAGCGTGGGGATTACCTACATAGCTTTTGGTTTTTTTAAATATCGAATTCCTTCTATAAACTTTTTGATATTAGATAGGACTAAATTCTTAACTCACAATTTCCCAAAATGGTGAATATTAAAAAAATAATGGCAGGCTGCCTTCTTTTGTAGTATTGTTTAGTTTGGCAAGTGACAAAAAAGAAGGCGCTGCGAGAAACATCTAAAAACTATAACGTTAAACTGCGTTCCATACATAAAAAATTTATTTGGAATTCATCCGGCCATTTTAACCCGATAGATTTTTAAAAATGAAATCTTTTAACTTTCCTTATCAAGTAATACTCAAACGTGATTTCATACATCTTTCCATAGCTTTCTTCCTCTGTCTCTCTGGTTCTAATGAGTTCGCATTATTGTATAACCCTTGCTCATCAAGCTCTTTGGTTTGAGCTTTTGACCTCTTAAATTGGTTGAGTTGGAGGGAATTTGGGTTTGAAAATCGAACTAGAACATTATGCCGCTGAGCATGAGTCCTTCTAGTTAAGAGATAAAATAACAAACCTGTCTGGACTGTGAAGCGCTGGGCTCACTTTCACTCTCACTGATCAACTTCTTTTTCTTCCCGTCTAGTCGGTTCCCTGCTCCACTAAACGCGATGAAACCAGCCGGTTCGGGCATCATGGTAGACGGATCTTCGTCCATGCCGACCCCAGCACCATCTGCTCCCGAACGACGAATGTGTTCATCCTCTTTGTAGCCTACTGGAGGTGCGAATTCCACCTAAGAAAAAGTAAACTATTTCAGCAAAGAAAAAAAATACTTATCAGAAAATATTAAAGTATAGTGATTTCTATAAGTCATAGTCATCTGATAAGTTACCGCCATCAGACATGAGTTTTTATAACAAACTAGCTGTACCTTACCGTGCTTCACTGTGGCACATTGTGTTTTAAAAAAATGGACAAAAACCATCTTAGAAAGCGTGTTTTATTACGTGTCAAAATTTGAACCCAAACAGTGCACAACTTTTTGAGTTTTGAAAGTATACACAAACTAACTTAACATTTTGAGATATATAGATTTAGTAATTCTGAATATAACAATAAACAGGAACCTTGTTTACTCATATTAAATAGATATTGGTGATACTAATAATTTTCAATAATGGTAATGATTTTCAATTAATCTATTGAAAATCATTATCAAGTAAGACAACGACTCAGACATATAATTGGTTTCGTAACGTATTTTCGCACTTCACTAGTAAGGAACTTTCCTAACTTTTAATTTTAAATTCACAATGTTATTCTAGATACACCATATATTGGTTTAACATTATTTCATTTTTACCTACTGTCTCTAATTTGAGCACTTTATATATTAAAAATATTTTTCCTAGTTAAAGTATTTGGAACTATGTATGAAAATGAAAAAACAGGAGGACCCTATAACCTGGCGCATTGGTCCAACCAACCTATGCCCAGCGGTGGCATGAGAACCGATGCCCAAAGCGCGCGAAAATTTTATTGCGAGTTGCAGGTTCAATAGTTACTCCGTAGTTTGGTATATCTACGTTAGATAATCCATTGAACTATGTATCTGCGGATGATGTAAATGTGGATGATGGACCTACAGATTTATCTAAACAAAAATAAATCAAACATACAAGACATACATACGTTCATATCACACTCTATTATGATGACTGCATTCCCTGGTTTAGTCTCTAACACACACAACTCATACACCTTAGAGTTATACTTAATAGCAATGACATCGCCAGTGGTTAAGCACGAAAAGTTGCGCAGACAGTTTTCCAATACTGAAACAGATACATTTTTATAAAATATAATTTCGATAACAGCTAAGAAGTAATATATTCTTAATACATGCTATTTTTTTATTTTAAAGGTTCCATCCCTCGTTAAGGCCTTATGGTGGTATTAAGTTGATACTAATATGAAATACTTATGTTTAAAATGCCTTAATGCTGTGAAAATATGTATTAAGGAATCATATTGTGGCATGTTTTTATTTAAATTGAAAATATTTGATTTATGAGTAAATAATGAACTAATTATTACTTTGTGGGTGTTATTATAAACACATAAAGCATTTAAAACTTTTCAAAAGTTGTCACCTCCTGAATTAGTGTTACAGAAATGTCTTGATCGCATTTAATTTCTAAACTTAATTATGGAATGAGCAAATTTTAAAATTGGAATGCTAATGGAATTACCTGCTTTAGGGTTAGTAATATCAAGAAAGTCTTCAGATAAAGGCTGGAACTTTGAGAATGTAGCAACAGGAAGTGATACACTCTCTACTTGTAATAATGTTCCTTCCTCTAAAACTAAGTTGGCCATCATCTGTAACAAACAAAATGCTGAATAAAGCTGACAAACCTTCATCTTCATCATAACAAAGAACAGTTGTCAAGTTACATAGCATCAACATATCTTATATAAAACAAGGATTAGGTTACACAATTTTTAACTCAAGAAGGGCTGGACCGATTTTTATGACAGATTAACTATTTTATTTAGATAATTTAAAAATGTACGAAGACAATTTGCAATTTTGTGGAAGTGATTCCTTAGAAAGGGACTAGTTAAGATAGGGATTTGAGCCATGAATGCTCCGTCAAAGTCATAAACGCGACGTCAAAGCTATGAACGCGTCGTCAAATCCATAAACGCGCCGTCAAAGCCATAAACACGCCGTCAAAGCCACGAAAACGCGTCGTCAAATTTCGTGAGATCAGACGTACGTGAAAAAATGTTTATTTGAATTTCGCATTATAACGTCACGTTACTAGCTTGATTTAAGTTCGGGGATACTACGTGTTTTATTCATTTTGACAGGCTTCCAGTGTCAACTGTCGTCGCCTTATGCTTTAATGTTCGAGGAGCAGTAGATATTATAGTTGTGTTGAATTTATCGTTCCAGGTATCATCATTAAAACTAATTCCTCAAAGACAAAGGTCTCGCAATGATCTACCAGCCCAGGGCTTCACAATGATCTACCTGCCTGGGGCCTTGTAATGGCTAAGGCCGCTACTGTGTAAGATATTACACTAAATTTTGGTACTTGCAAGTTGCAGCGAAAATCGAAATTTGCCCATATCTTTTTATCGTGTTGACTCAGAACCTTGATTTTTTTTTATACACCTAATAGAGACCATAGACCTCATTATCTGGTATAGATTTCAACTTGCTAGGTCTACCCGTTCATGAGAAAATCGGTGAGGACACACGGACAGACAGACAAACGTCCGTTTGTCTGTCTGTCAAGACAAGAAAGTGATCTTATCAGGGTTCTTTTTTACCTTTTGAGGTACGGAACCCTAAAAACATGTTTTTGTGCACTTACATTCCAAACTTAATACCAAAACAATGTACTACGGAACTGTATTTCTTAAAGAGATCTACAGAAAAGCCTCTCTGCCTATCTCCTAAGGATAACCCACAGCAACCATTTTTATATTTTGAATATTGCAAAAAAATAATGGGTTATTTACGAAGCTACAACAAACTCTACATTATCATTCCCTATCCAATTTTTTTTTTTTTTAATTTCTTTTTTTAAAAAGACGACGCCCGCATTAGGAATAAATCCTGTGTAGCGGGGGACTTTACAAACATACATGAAACGGACACAAAGAACACCCAGACTCAGAACAACAATTTGTGGATCACACAAAGTGTCGTCCCATGTGGGGTTTGAACCCACAACACTCGGCGTAGTAGGAAGCGGCGTGGCGACCGCTTAAACCACTACGCCATCCGTGCAGTCAAAGTATGTTAGATATGTGCATTTAATGTAGATTAAAGTTATTCTTTACAGCATATCATTAAAATGAATATTTTAGAAGTTATGAGAGGTTTAAAATGCGGGGTCCCAACGGCCGTACGTCCGTACGCCGGCACGATCGGAGCGGGCCTATAAATATTGCATTTAAAGATGTTCTGCAGCATAGTCCTGTCATAATAATAATATAGTATAATTAATTACTCCACACTGACATCACATTAGTAGTATTATTTGTATCTACGTTGCACCCGTGCAAAGCCAGGGGGGATTGCTAAGTCGGTTCGAATCCGACATGCCTCCGATAGGTAGGTAGGAAAAAAAAAAAAGGGGGGGGGATAGTGTTACATAAAATAAAATAAAGTAAAAAAAGTTACCCAATGTGGTAAGTAGACTCTTCCTTCATCAGCCACAAACTCCAACACACCGCAGTGTGTGATTCTTTTGGTTTTTTTATTTGTCAGCTTGAAAATCATAGGGTATTCTATATTTAGCCTAGTTAACTGTTCCAGGGCTGATGGTGGCATTATAACTGGAATAAAATAGTATGCAGTGTTAATATTCTTTACTGAAATTAAATTAAGAGTAATATTTGGTTTTTGGTTATATAATATGTACTCTAGTAGCTTTTGCATGTTATGCAATTTATTTTTTTATTTTAATAACACTACTAGTGTTCTAAAAATGTTGACTATTGTTATGTCCCCTCATTATCATCATGCTCGTCATCAACAGCCTTTAGTAATCCATTTGCTGGACATAGGCCTCTCCTTAGAAAGAAGGTTGTGGCCTACTATACCAAGCTGGCTAGACAGGTTGGTATAGGGTTTGTGTCAAGTTTTCCTACTCTTTGCAGTAAGGTTGTGCTGTTCCGTGGTCGGCTTACACTCTGTATTCTTAATCCTAACAGATTGTGGTGACCCACAGATATGGACTGATAGGTAGAAATGTACCCTTGTAATAGATCTTCCTTAAATTTTGTCACACAAATGTCATGAAATCAAATGACGTGAACGTGACGTGTCCCTGGTGTCACATCACTTTGCTTACTGCTTTGATTTATATACAAGAAGTAACAAATAGTGTGCAATATGAAGTATATATCCACAAATAGAGTGTTAAAATTAGCTGCCATGAGATTAATAATAGGCCTATTTTTTAAACTTATTATTGTAGCTAATGATGATGCAAGTTTTTATTGTGATGCTGTGTAAAAATTATAAAAAATGCTAACTCTGTTAAAAGAGTAGGTAATCTTACTTTTTCCTCCTCTTTCTACATCTTGCCGCTCATTCCCAGGTAGCATTGAAACTGAGTAACACTTGTAGGTCATGCTAAAGGGCCTACTGATCTCGTGAAACATGTTGAAGCCAAACTGAAACTAATAAAGTGTACATTAAGCAAATCAATTAAAATGTAAAGTATAACACCATATCTGTTTACGAAATTTACCATTTTGAGTTTTTTTATTACACTGTTTATTTGGAAAATAAATGCAAATCATGCAGTTCGCAGCAAAAACAATTCAAGTCAACCTTTTGTTGTGATTTGACAGATTTGTCAAGTCCTATCCTATCTGAAACAATTTTTTAATTTATGAACAAAGAGAGATCAACCGAGGCTTCTCTGTATGTGCGAAAGAGACATATTAACATTATGTTTAAATGAAACAGTGATGTAGTAGCTGAACAACGTTTCGATTTACTTGACGTTGTCATTGATCAGCTGCGTTCAAGTTAAGTTGTAGAGCTGTACTTTTATTTTTACTTTTAAAATTAAATTTCGATGGATCTGTAATATTTAAAGTCTTTTTTACCGAAAACACTGCTTTTAGTAAGAGTTTTTAAAGAACTTATGAAACTATTTAAATGTTATGTTATAAAAGCTAGAACTAAATCACAAAGCAGTATTAAAGCTACTAGTTTAAGGAGCTAACCCGGTTTCTAAGTCTACTGTAATGATAAAAGGTCTAATTTAGTGATTAAATATTATTATATACGTGCCATAAACCAAGCCTCATTTTTTGCTATTGTGTGTTTATGAATGAAAGTTTAGACTTGTTGTATTAATCCTGAACGCAGCATAAAAAAACATGCTATCCTCTTTTGGCATTATATGCCATTTCATTCATTTGTATATGTGGCAGCCGCGGGTGTAGATTGTTCGTCATATTTCTCCGAAAAACCAATACTCATTAGCCCCCCAGTTTTTCTTCATGTAGTATCTAAAATAATGTGAGTAAATTCAGTTATAAGACACCATATAATTTATTTCGCCGCGTTCCGGTCATTGTCATTTTCTTTACGCTCATGAACGCCATGTTGATTGTCAAAAGTGTTTTCGGATGAGACAGCAGTGAATTGATTTGTGATTTTTTTCCAGAGTTGGTGATAGCAAAGGGTCGTTTGATATTCATTTCATTTAATTTGGGGCGTGGGTAAACGCAACAATGGCGCAAGTATTACCGATACGTTTTCAGGAGCATTTACAGGTGAGTACGCCCATCGGTTTATTGGATTTGCCGATAGCGTTTCCTTTGAGGAAGCAATCTTGCTTTTCTTGTTGAAGAAAATTCTCTGGGTTATAATGGTGCATTTTTTGGTGCGTGTAGTATTTTGATAGCGGCTGTAAGGGCATTGCGCAATTACCTTAGTGACAGTTGCCACCCCCTATTCGCTGAACCTAGGGGACTAGCGGCCGGTATTGATTTGTCCCATTTTCCCATCTGGATCATATGGCCCGTAAAGCAGTGCCAAATTTTTATTTATTTAGGTCAAAGAAAACTGATATAAATCATAATTATGATAGTAAATATAAATTAACTAATGAATTTTCTTTCTAATATTTGGTAAATGAAATTACTGCACAACAAAACATAATCCAATTAGAATCTGATTTGAGAAGCCTAAGAGCTGATATATATCAGAATTTAGTAGATTTTGTTAATTTTATTATAATAATGTGTAGACATTGAAGTAATCTATTATGAGTCATGCAAAACTACCTTCAACATTATAACAACATTGAAAATTATAAAACAACACCACATAAAAACAATAGAAGATACTTGAATAAATATTTAAAATTTATGGATACAAATATTCTAATTAATGATAATTGTACTGTAATTATTGAACAAATGAATTTATGCATAGTAATCTCCTTGTCCTTATCTCTTATCAAATGTCAAAGCACTAAATAATTTAGGTGTATGGACAAGACATTGAACTTGTCTAAAATAACAAAACATTTTTGTTTGATTAGATAGCAGATGTAAAATATCTTTAAAACACCTTTTAAAATCTTTTTTGTCAATCACTTTGACTGCACGGATGGAGTAGTGGTTTACGCGGTTGCCATACCGGTTCCTACTACGCCGAGTGTTGTGGGTTCAAACCCCACATGGGAGGACACTTTGTGTGATCCACAAATTGTTGTTCTGAGTCTGGGTGTTCTTTGTGTCCGTTTCATGTATGTTTGTAAAAAGTCCCCCGCAGCACAGGATATATTTCTAATGCGGGAGTTGCCTTTTGTCTTAAAAAAAAAAACAAATTTGCAAAAGCTGCTTTTTATGCCCTACAACATTTCTCAGGCTTTATAATAGTGTCAAAGAGTACTACACTTTTAGTGATTGACAACTTTGCTTTGTAGTCAAGAAGAAGGATTTACTCTCTGAATTGTAGATGAATGAAACTAAGTGTTTTCCAGCTGACAAGTACACTTTAAATTATTTCAAGGGTGGTATGCCCATTTGTACTTGGAGCCCTGTTTTGTCTCAGGCTTATAATGATAATCCAAGTTTCATCTTCAGTTCTAATGTGTTTTAAAATTTAGTCCTTGTTAGCATTAAAGTATAGTCTGAAGAAGCTTTCGTAGTGTAATAAGAAGCTTGAAGACTATTCTACACAATCTCCAATTTTCTCTATGCTGCATATTTTCCTCTATAATCTCTTTTCATTGTTTTTCAAAATGCTCCCCAGTGTACCAAGAATCTGTTGACTAAAAAGCTTACCATTCATCAGTGCTTGAACTTGTTTGCCACCTCTATGGTGTGAAAATACACTGTAGAGGTACATGTTTAAGCAAATTTAAATCTGTTGCAGCTCACAAATGTGGGTATTAATCCTGCCTCGATATCCTTCAACACACTCACAATGGAGTCGGACAAGTTCATCTGTGTTCGTGAGAAAGTAGGTGAGACAGCTGAAGTTGTGATCATCGACATGGCGGATCCCACCAGCCCTATTCGTCGACCAATTAGTGCAGATTCGGCCATCATGAACCCAGCAAGCAAAGTTATTGCACTGAAAGGAAAGGCGGGAGTTGAAGGTATGTCAATTCTAGTTTATTCTTAGTGATAACTTTTGTTTAGGATAGCAAAATTATTAGAAGGAGGAACCGTTCTTCATTACATATTTTGTAATAAGCTCATATACATGTGTCTTGATTTCTGGATCTCGATCAAGCTGCATTCTTGATAAATCAAATTAGGAGCTTCTTGTACCTTACGCATTAACAAGAAGCCAAATATGACGTAACCCTTTGTAAAATAGATGCTTCATGTAACATAGGGTCCTTATCTTTATTAATAAATGTAATGAAAGTGGCCAAGTCCACAGCCGGTTGGACAGATGGGATCTATCTACTCCATTGCATTGTTAGATGTTGCCCTTATTAAAGACGACAACTGCTGGACTTATTTGGAAGCTTCCTCTCAAGTGATCCTGTAAGTCTCTAACCAACACCAACTATTCTGGGGTAACCTGATGGATTTCCTGATTTGTTATAAAACTGAAATCAAAATTGTAAACAAAATTTAAAATAAGGTGCATCTTACTCTAGGATTTGCATAGAAATTATATTTTTAAAAAAAGCAGTCTCAAAGTCATGCCATTATTTTTATAGAATACTATATCAAATGTTGTATAGTTTTACTTATTTATCTTTGAAGTATTCATTCTTTTATGAAAATAATATCGACGGCGAAGGTGCTAAAAACTTCTAACTGACGTGTTTAGACAAATTCTCTTTTAGCATTTTGAATTCCTTAAATATGAATGTAGAAATTAATCTCAAATAAATTGACTTATTAATTTTTAATATGTCAACTGAATAAATAAAACACTATTATTATATAATTAAAACACATATTATTATTAATTATAATTAATAAGTATATTACTTAACTTTCCAATATTTAAAATAAGTTTTATCCAGTTTCTGTAAAATCTTGATTTCGTCAGTTAGGAGTTATTGATACTTCACATTCGTTATGACAATAGTAAGAGAACATCCTATTATTTTTGCCGACAATCATAATAACGATACTGTTACCAGTTTACGCAGATTAGCACATCATTTTCAACACAATGTCAATTCACATCCGCCCCCTCTTCTGTCTACACCCGCCTATCGACGCCATTAAAAAATATTGACGCCTACCTCCGTGCATTTAATCCCATTAACGGGTACGTCAATGATAGTATCGATATTCGATACTTATACCTACCATTTATATTTAAAAAAAATAAACAAAAAATAATTAATCTATCAATATTATCGACGGGCATGTTTCCCTAGTGGTTCGCGATCCGTATTGCTAAGTTCGATTCCCACTCAGAATAAATATTTTTTGAAGATTACTATCATTTGTTCTGTGTCTAGGTATAATTAAGCTGTAGTATGTCAGTCAGCAAAATGTGGATTTTTAATATGTATGTGTGTGTTAGCTTTCTGTTACCAACGATTTAGCTTAATAGTAACGGCTGATAAGATTACGTAAATACTAAAAAACATAGAAACAGATTAGACTATAATGGCTTTTACAGCTTTCATAATCAGTCAAGTACCGAAGTGGAAAAGATTTTGACGTACTATATGTCGTTTTGCATTCAGCAGACCTTTTATAGAGCAGGCTCAAATATAGTTTTTTTTTTCGCTGTCACCTCACCGAGGTTTGCGGCGGGGTGGTGTGTCGGAATCGGACCGACTAAAACCACACGGAGTGCCACTCTGCGCTTGTAATGTCCGTTGTGAACAGTCATGATTAGACACATGGGCTGGCTCGACGGTAGTGATGCCACCGCCTAAGGGGACTAGTGTAAGTGTATTTCATTTCTACTCGCTCTCGACGGCGAGCGCATTTGGCGTTGTTATGGTGAAGATTTCATGTGGGCCAATCGAAACGCTGAACGCGCTCACCGTGACGATCGCATAGATGTGAAATAAACTCGCACTAGGGCCATTTAAAATCAGTGGCAATTCTTTTGTTGGTCTTCACCGGTGAGGTTACTAGAATGGGCCTCATGTAACCTTACTCAGTCGTCGTCATCGTCAATAGCCTCTAATAGTCAACTGCTAGACGTAGGCCTCTCCTTAGAAAGGAGGTTTTGGCCTACTATACCACGTTGGCCAGATGGGTTGGCAAAGGGTTTGTGTCAAGTGTTGCTTCTCTTTGCAGTGCTGTGGTCCTGCATAGATTGCTCCCTTAGTCGGCTCTTACGACACTAACGGGATAGATAGGGTTGGTGACACAACATGGATAAATACTCAGTTGACCTCCCCCTTAACTATGGGAGGTGGTTGAAGTGGCACTCAAAGGGCTGCAACGCACTTGAGGTGTCTATGGGCGGCGGTACTTATTTTCCAACAGGTGATTTATCTGCTCGATTACTCCTTATTCCATAAAAAATAATTCGAACAAGATCTCGTTGCAGTTCGACATCTTTACACAGAGTTCATTTGAGTTCAAAGAAGACAAGTTAATGATTCGTTATTCTAATTACAATATATTTTTGTAACTTGTTATTTCTAGTTATGCAAATTTATTCAATAAATGGAATAGTTTACCATTTAATTTGTGGCATATTATTTTTGTGATAGAAATAGCGCAGAGGAGCGCCGTCTTGACTATTAATAGGTATATATCTTCGTAAGAAACATTAATTGTGTGTATAAACAAAGCTAAGTATTTGGTACATGTCCTTCTATATATGATGAAAGGGTTGTTCACAAAGAATATCGTCGCAATGTAATATGTGCTCACTCATTGTTCTTGGTTGATGTATCTTTGAGCACACGCCTCTGAAAGTGTCATTGTTTTATATTTAATTTAATTCTATGATTTGTTAACACAATAACTCTTTTCTATGTACTAATATTTACTTAGCAAGATTAAAAACCGAAAAACTAATCTACAGTTTTTAAAAGATATACATTTAATTTTTAGGAATTTTATTTTATTCAACAGAACAAGTAATAATACCTTTATAACAGATAAATTTTCAATAATTACATTTAACTTATTACAATACATAACAAAATTGATGAACCATTCAAATAAATGATATGCGTTTCAGATACGCGCATAAAAAATCCGTTGGTTTATCAGTCTTTGATACCGCATAAATGTATAGTACTCGGGATGTGTTTATACAATATATGTCAATTATTTATTAAATTATTATATGTAATGTCGGTTATCGCAGTAAAATGTAGCCTATGCTACTCTACTAATGTAGCTTTCCATAGGTAAAATCATTTTTAAAGTCGGTTCAGTGGTTTAGGTGTGAAAGCGTAACAAACAAACTCACTTTCACATTTATGATTTAAGTATGGATTATTGTTTAAAATCTTATTTTTTTAATTAATAAGAACATAGTGTGTAAGTAATTATTAATAATTATTTCTTGTACATAAACACAAAAATATATATTTTATACATACATACATATAATGCCATATACCACAACCCCTCAGTTTCAGCGTGGTATAGTGCCAAAACCTCCTTTCTAAGGAGGGGCTTATGGCAAGCAGTGCACTATTAAAGGCTATTGATGATGAAGATTTTCACACCTAAATGTATGTAGTGATTTTGGTGATTTCAGGTTAAGAAATGCTTCAGAATTTGTTACAGTAATACGTAATTTTTATAGTATTGAAAATAAACTTATAAACAAATCATTAAGACACTTTTCTAGAAAAAAACCTTACAAATATAACAGCAGAATTTCGACAAAATTGCCAAAACACCGCTTTGCCAATAGCCTCAAGACACACTGTAAATGGTATTTACGTAACATACTTGGATCATATAAGTCTACTCTATACTTCGTTTTCATCCAGACTGCAGACTTACTGACCTTGGGCACTGTGCCACTTTACTGACCCAAAAAGGAAAATTTAAATGTCGGCCACGTAATTACTTAATATAATAGGACCTAAGCAGATTAGAAAAACGCCTAAAACTAAAATTATTTGTACTACGTGTCATGTAAAATTAATATATTATGAGAATATTACGTCTGCGCCTGCGCGCGTGTGTTAAATTTATTCCGTATTTAGACACCTATTAACCCATAACATTTTACTTACATAGTAAAATAGCAGAGCCTGTTTTCATTTATTGATTACATCACGCATAGAGACGACCACTGTGTTTAGTTCTGGCAATGACTCATACTCATATTATGTATGTATGTATGCGCCTTTATATTCTTGGCACAAAACATCGACGGAAGTGGCAATAACAAAATAATTTTATGAGCTTTGGAGTCGATGCACTCGTTTCAGTAAAGGCTGTTTAATGAGATGAAATTTTCGATCGCTAGAGATTTAAATCTTCTTTTAGTAATATGTATTATAAAAATAAATATGAAACATATAGCAGACCTCTTTTGAATTATAAATGTCTATGGTGAGCAACGTGGAATAACATTTTGACTATTTAGACAATAGACTTACAACAATAGTCGGTCTGTGTACTCATGAGCTTAATCTCTCAAAATGATCTAACCAATGATCGGCCGCATATGCGCCGCGTATTTCATTGCAAACTGTAATAATAAAAATATTAAATTTTAAAAGGTGAAAAATTTCCAAAAGATTAGATGATGGTGACTTAGGAGACGAAGTATACTTAACCTGTTTCTTAATCAAGATGTCTCGTCTGTAATACGAATCACAAGAAGTTGCGAAGTCGATAATGATGATTACAGGATTCAAATCTGGTCGGCTTTCTTCATGAATTGATTAAGGTCAAGCGATGTAACGTATCTACCATATTATATCTAACATATCTACACAAATACTTTGTTTATTGTTAAGTTATTTAAGAATTTGTCGTTTAAGGACCAAGCAGATGACATGCAAGTCTGTTGCGTGCAATTTAACCACGATAATATATGTATACCTGATAATTAACTATCATGATGAATTGTACACTGTATTATTTATTATATATTGTACTAGCTGACCCGTGCAACTTCGTCTGCGTCTCTCAATAGTAATAAATTTTCTCCGTTTTTGAAACATTCTTCATTGGTGCTCCG